GTCTTACGAACAGATATTTTCCGAAAATTTACGTTAGGTGCCCCTGATGAACTTTGAAGACGGTGCAGAATGTATTGTCAGTAATGATTTCAGGTACATTGAAAACATAGTTAACTGAATTTAGTAACCAATCGATTTTTCGCTAAACGATGAATGTCAGTACAGGAGAGTGTTTTCCTCCCCTTAGAATAAACTAACATTTTCGCTAATAAATGTCAGTAGCTCAGTCTCCGTTTGTCTTCGTTAGAAATGGCAAATGGCACACCAGGCGGTAGCGATTTGCTCACGCGCTGTAAAGTATCATGATGAAAATTATCCACAACCATTCCATAGCACTTTGTTATTATTTTTTTTTTTCACCTCTTCTTTATAAGCATCCAAGGCAACTGTTTCATCTACAATGTCAAGTTCACTGGTTTGAACTTTCCTCCCAATGGACCTGTTATGCAGAAGAAGACACAAGGCTGGGAACCCAACACTGAACGTCTTTATGCACGAGATGAAATGCTGATAGGAAACAACTTTATGGCCCTGAAGTTGGAAGGAGGTGGTCATTATACCTGTGAATTCATATCTTCCTACAAGTACGTTATCCCAATTACTATTTAACCATTAAAGAAGAACCGCAGATCGCAAATGGAGGTCAGTTTTCGTGATCTAGCTTATGTGAAAGCCACGATTCGGGATTTTATAAGCAAAAAGAGCCTCGATTTAGTTTAATAAATATAAAAGGGATACGGGTTTGAGGGAGTTTACATTGCGAGATTGAAGAAAAAAACTATATATTGTTGAAAAGAATTGGTATTCGGTAGAAAGTACTGAAACGTTTTTTAAATTTTGGCTTCAGACACAAGTTGGCCACAATTTGTCGACACTGTCATGATCATGATTCAGGTCATTCACGCAATGCTACTCACTCCCTTTCCCGTCTAATGGACTTGCTCGAGGTCATGTTCCGGACATCGTCAAACCGTTGTTATTCTTACGAAATATTACATATTTGTTTGTAAGAAAAAAAAAGAATAAATCTGTGCACACAAAAAGGAAAAAAATCGCTTGTTAGAAATTGACAATGAAGAACTCCATAAAAATATTTGATGGTGGTGATTTGGGGTGATATTTTTTTATAAATTAACGTATACGGCGAAGAGGAAAGGTGTGAGTAAGCAAGCAAGTAAGGATCTTTGTTAAAAAAGGAGAACGTGGAGAACGCTTGCCTTGTCTCCCGAAAACGATCGAACGATAAAATTAAAGAAGAGTATATTTTGGTCAAAGCTGATGGTTGTCGTCAAAGATAGTTTGGGTTATTTTCGATCTTACGGACGTTAAGGGTTTTTGTTTTTTCTTTTGTTAGGGCAAAGAAGCCTGTGAAGATTCCAGGGTATCACTATGTTGACCGCAAACTGGATGTAACCAGTCAAAACAAGGATTACACTTCCGCTGAGCAGTGTGGAATTTCCATTGCACGCAAACCTGTGGTCGCCTGACTTTTTTTCAGAGTCAAATTAAGGCAGAAATACGCAGTGGCGTAATTCGATTCAATTTTCAATTGAATTCAATTTTAGTCACACTTTTGTAAAGTACTTACATTATACATAGTAAGGTAGGAATATACCAATAAAGAAGAAGGAGAAGGAAAAAAGAAAATTAATGGCTTGGGTAGAAGTGTACGGTGGTAGAGATGCTAAGCTTTCGAGCTAACCACCGCTATATTATGATTGGAAATACATAATAAGTGGGCGCTTGGTGCAATTGCAACTATGGACGATTATGACAGTAGTCATTTTATGTGAAATAGTCATATTACGTTGTTACCTTTGAAAGTTAACTAGAATTCGCTCCTTTTTGAACTGATGGTAGCTAAGTGTTTTTATCTTAGTAGGAATCACTTCCCAAGTTTTGGTTATGGCAAACTTAAATGTGTGTTTGCCGTAATTTGACCTTACACGTGTTACACGAAAGTTAAGATTTGAGGCATATCTGGCATTATGTGCGTGAATGTCAGACACCTTCACGAGGTAGTTTTGAAACACTTCAGGAATATTGGCTTCATTTTGTGAGCTAGCAGGGAGATTTTGAGTTTGAAAAGCGTAGATTTTGATTTTAGCTAAAAATACGTACGACGAAAGAATTGTAAACAACATTTGATGATTAAACTTTTGAAATGTACGTTTCTGGTTTCTGTGTCGTTAAATCGCTTGGGCAGCTGAGTAGATTTTGGTTGTTATGTATGTTGATAGTGGGTAATAATAGCTCTTCTAGCCCTAGTTAAATACAGCCATCCATTTTTATTAGTACGAGGACGTCTTAACTGATAACCTTGGATGCGCCTGTGGCAATCCCATGAAAGCGGGGATGTCCTGCGAACCGAGATTGTGATTTGAGGAGTCATGATTTACATAAAAACGAGTTGATCATGAGGAGACGCTGAGGAAATATAATACGTTCCATATTTGACCTTTTTTAAGGTGGCTTGACCTCGTATTTCGGAAAACACACCTTCTGTCGTCTAATCACAAATGGTAAGCTAATAGTTCTAAACATGACTATATTTTGGAAGATTCCAAAGGACATCCAAAAGGGGTAAAATCAGGGGTGGTGCTTTGGAATTTGATGTTGTGCTAAGCTCGAAACACGCGTGTTATTAAAGAGCAGGTGGGTGTTACGGGACACTTTTAAATAATTTGCGTCCCCAGTTGGTCCCCACTTTGACATTTGACGGTTCTTATCTTAGGTTACTCATTTTTTTTTAGACGAAGAGCGAAATTTAAAACGGAACGTTCGATTCTTACGTAAGATATGTATTATGTAAGATACCTATTGACTTTTCCTCATGAGAATGGCCTTATTGACTCCATTAATTTGGTCTGCTGAGACGGTGGATGTCTTTTTAACGACAATTTCCTTCTACATGCATCGAAACACTTTTTAGGCTATCCAGAGTACTTTTAGATCTCTAGAAATGCATTCAAAGCGGCGCTATAAAATTTGTATCTGTTCAAGTCATTTAGGGGAACTTGACTGTTATCGAAATTACCAGGGCTTCAGTTATATTTTTCAAAAAATTTTAGATGCATATTAACGAAAGAAAGAATTTTTCTGATTACTCTCTTTATCGCATTTTCGAATCCGAAAATTTTAAGGGTTCCTTTCTATACGAGAAATTGCCTAAAGTGGAAAGTGAAAAGCGAAAAATTATTCTTCAGAAAATCGTAGGGAATTTATTAGATAAACTTCGAAAATTCTTCGTCCGTGGAACGGTCATCTAGAAATTTTTAGCTTTCCCTGAGAGAGAGAAAATTCTAGCCAATTTTTGCGTCTCCGAAAAGATATTTTTACAGAAAACAGTCGTTGGGTGCCCCTCTCTTTTCAAACACTGGCCCAGGAAACATACAAAACGTTGAAGAAAAATTTTCTTACATACATTAGTTTTTAATCGCAGCCTCTTATGGATAGATGATTATGTCGTGGTAGATATTAATCTTTCTTGGTATTTTATTTTTTTATTGCCTTATTTTTAGCTGACCTTCATATTAAGCCTGTAACATTAGATACGTTTTTTTAATGTATTTCTAGAGATAAAGTCTTTGTTAATGCTTGTTTGTTTTCATTAGGTACACCATATTAGTTTCCAACCTGAACTGAGTATGCCGATAATTAAAAAGAAAAGACAGACAAAATTTGTGAAGGGAGATTTGGCAGGTAACTTTGATTGATTGGTTAAAGCCAATTCTAATAGAAACATTGTCAGGTATAAGGAGGTGTACAGGGTGAAGCGTGCACTCGTAAAAACGAGCGTTATAGCCAGACAGAAATATGATTACATTTACTATAATAGTATCCCACTTTCTAATATAAGTTGTGGGTTAATATGTGTTTGTAGTGCCTCCGACACGCAACTTATTGCCCTCCGACAAGGTTACGATCTGTCTCGTTTAAGGCTACATGTTCACTAGACAAAAAAAAAAAAAACATGAAGCGATTAAAGAAAGCGATACACCTATCGGAGGTCAGCTTTGCGCATGCTTTGCACAATAGAACAAAAATATCTACTTCGACCTAACAGGCAAAGGTTGCCACTGGTTCAGGAAACATACGGAACGTTAAAAGAACAATTTTCCTACATATATAAGTATTTAAATAAAACCTTTCATTAATAGATGAATATGTCATGATACTAATCTTTCTGTGTATCTTATTTTTTTATTACCTTATATTCAGCTCATCTTTATATTAAGCCTGTAACATAAGATACATTTTTTATCGAGCATTCTAGAAATATGTCTTTATCATTTCTTTAATGTTTTCATTAAGGTACACCATATTAGGTTACAAACTGAAAGTATGCCAATAATTAAAAAGAAATGACAGACAAAATTTGTAACTGAAGATTTCGCAGGTAGCTTTGATTGATTGGTTAAAACCAATTCTAATAGAAACATTGTCGGGTATAAGGAGGTGTACAGGGTGACGCGTGCACTCGTAAAAACGAGCGTTATAGCCAGACAGAAATATGATTACATTTACTATAATAGTATCCCACTCTCTAACATAAGTTATGGGTTAATATGTGTTTGTAGTGCCTCCGACACGCAACTTATTGCCCTCCGACAAGGTTACGATCTGTCTCGTTTAAGGTTACATGTTAGACAAAAAAGAAAAAAAATATGAATCGGTTAAAAAACCGGTACACCTACCGGAGGTCAGCTTTGCGCATGCTTTGCACAATAGAACAAAGATATCTACTTCGACCTAACAGGCAAAGGTTGCCACTGGTTCAGGAAACATGCGAAACGTTGAAAGAACAATTTTTCCACATAGATTAGTTTTTAAATAAAACCTTCCTTGAATAGATGAATATGTCATGATAGATATTAATCTTTCCGTGTATTTTATTTTTTTATTGCCTTATAATCAGCTCATCTTTATATTAAGCCTGTAACATAAGATGCGTTTTTTTTATCGAGTATTCTAGAAATGTCTTTATCAGTGCTTTTATGTTTTCATTAAGGTACACAATATTAGGTTCCAAACTGAAAGTATGCCAATAATTAAAAAGAAATGACTTACAAAATTTGTAACTGGAGATTTCGCAGGTAGCTTTGATTGATTGGTTAAAACCAATTCGAATAGAAACATTGTCAGGTATAAGAAGGTGTGCAGGGTGTAGACTGCATTCACATCAGCGTCTCTTTCGCAGACGGAGCTACTTAAAAAGAGTTTGCCAATCGTTGATATTGCAAGTTGTTCTCCAATATGGTGAGTTTTCTTTCAATTTAGAACTTACAGACAGAGAAACGTCTACTTACAGTCACCTCCTCAGAGGCTTAGTCCTTTTCTACAACGGCCACTTCTTTTTGTCCCGGCTGACAGTCCTTAAATTCCCTTTTGTGCTTTCTTCTCTTCAACACGGCCACCTCCCTACCATTAAGTAATTCCAATTCTAGCGCCTCCCTGAGTCAAGGAAACCTTTTCACAATGGTTATTTGAAATCAAACGGCTATGTACAAATTGACGTAATCATTTCACCTTAGTGTCTTAATGCTTTGTTAACGTTTTTTTTTTCTGACCATTAGGTTTGATTGTGTTATTTAATGTTATGCAAAAAATAAACACTTTTGAAACTATAAAAGTTCTATCCAAATCACGACAACTCAGGATTTTCGGCCAGTTGGGTTGTTTTACGTGCCTAGGAGAGTTTCTAAATTTCGTACAAAAAACAAGAAAAGATCTTGCATTGCGCTATGTTTTCTTAATATTTATATCTTGAACATTTTATTGTTGGGCCTGACTGTGTTACGCAATGGTATCTTAAAAGAAGCTCTTTTGAAACTACAAATTTTCTACCCTATTAAGTTCATATTTCTTGTACTTAGGCCAAAAGCGAACAAAACGCACGGAATCTCAGTTTATCTAAATTTCTTTCTTAACTTTTAAGCTCGTACAAGAAATGTCGAAAAAAAAACCTGTCACCAAGGGAAAAACGTGCTTTCTGCTTGATGGATGAAAAATATTTACTTACCTCTAAATTCCTAGTTTGCTGTATGAAAAAAAAAAAAAAAAGTAGCAAATTTCAACTAATCACAACTGCGTACGAAAGTAAAACTGATGATCATCGCGTCCAGGGAGTGGTGACCTCTTGCTACTTCCACACACAACAGATAAAGATTAGTATAAATATCAGAATAATTGAGTGTGCTAGAGGTTAGAGTTTCTTTTTGAGTGTTGTATATGTTTCTGAATCTATCTTGGCTCTGTTGCTAAATATGCTTCGATAATCTGTATGTACGTTGCGTACTATAAAAAAATACAGACCCGGCTGAATCGGCAACATTCAACAAATGAATGTTTTATGACTAAAGAGATTGTAAATGACTAGGTATTTGTCTTCCTTAGGAATATGCCTCATAGTATTACAGTAAACTTACTTTAAAAGGGACAGATTTTAGGAATCCCATACAAGCGAGCGAAGATGGGCGAACGCGCGCGTTGCCTCGTGATTTGCATAGCCACCGCACTCACTCAGCTAATCAGATGATTGACAAAACACGAAGAACCCAGAATGCCTTTGAAAATTGCAAAACGCGAGGTGCGATACACCATTTGAAACCAATTTGGGTTTAATTCTTGTCAACATTACCTACTTTAGTTATATTAACGAAATATGTGGCTTTGATCTATTCAAGAACGCACTAAGCAAGTCATGTTTTACTAACAAGACCATTTTTGTAAGAGATACAAGAAACCATTGTATTGGAATTCAATTCCATATGTGCTTGGCTGGTTAACGTTTCTCACGCAAACTATATAATAAACATTCGATCACCTTAAATATCTCGCAAAATGTGTGCATTAATCATGCAAAACCTGTTATTATGCAATTCGTAGAACAGAATAACTAGATTGAGGACAAAAGGCTACACGTATTGGACGATTTCTACGCAAGTCAACTATTTAGCAGGAACGCCTGATCCACCAAATTTGATTCGGTTATTATGAGGGTCTATTAAGTTTTTATGTCATGACCGCTTGGTTGTGGGTTATCTTTGATGTCGAAGTGGCTTATTTAGGGCTGCTGTGGATCATTGTAGGTCGTTTCGGCTTTTAATAACTACGTTTGTCTCTATCACACCACGAGGTTTCATTGTATGCTACAGTTGTACATATGCTACGAAATCGTCATCTTCTTCACTGACCACCTAAACAAAAGAGAGTTACTTAACTGATGCGCATGCAGTCGAGCAAGCATAGATGGCGCCCGCACCTACGCTTTTCTTGGAAAAGATTACTTCTGCTTGAGGTGCAATTAAAAGAATACGATTTCATCTTCCTTTATATAATGTATTGAGGAATGCTTACAAGAGTTTAGTTTAAACATGTTTTGATTACTATTATGTTCTTGGAAGCAATTGCGGTATTGACTTTCAACTACAAAGCGACATGAAAACTCCAAAATCGCCCAGCCTGCCTGTAATTTTATTTTTATTTTTACTTGTAGTCCTTTTATCGCTAGGCATTTTAACCCCGAGCAAATTTGCGTTGTTACAACCGAGCTAACAAAATTTTCCTGCTTTTCTTGTTTTAAATTTAACAGAGTGTGATCGCTAAACAAATGACCTACAAGGTTTACATGTCAGGCACGGTCAATGGACACTACTTTGAGGTTCAAGGCGATGGAAAAGGAAAGCCTTACGAGTAAGTTTCTGTTTAATAGATATTATATATTTTTCATACTTGTTCAATATATGTTGGTTTCCGTTCAATGCATGAAGGGTTTTCGCAGCTTACCCTTGATTACTTTTAAAATCCCATGACACTTTCGAGGATGTTTTTGGGAATGAATGGGGAACACGAGGAAGAGCAAGTGAGCAGCAAAGTGTTTTCCAGCGTTATCTTTCATGGAAACTGGTTTAAATTTTTAATATGTGAATCAAATTGAACGCTACCGTGCAAATTTAATCTTTCCATTAACGTAATAAAATAAATAACGATCAATTGGTATCACATCCACAGAGTGGTTTCTTGTCTACCATCCTCGATAGAATTGATACTTGACAAGGTTTTTTTTTTTTGAAAAAGAAAAGGAAACAAAACCAGAGAACTAAGAGAAAATGCTGTCAGAATGAGAATTATACACCTTTTAACAAGACCCATCGAGCAATGTTTAACCTTTTTTTTAATAAATAAGGCACCATAGTATAAAAATGTGCCTAATTTAAATGCCATCTCTTCTCTTTAAGGGGCGAGCAGACCGTAAAGCTCACTGTCACCAAGGGCGGACCTCTGCCGTTTGCTTGGGATATTTTATCACCACAGAGTCAGTACGGAAGCATACCATTCACCAAGTACCCTGAAGACATCCCTGACTATGTAAAGCAGTCATTCCCTGAGGGATATACATGGGAGAGGATCATGAAGTTTGAAGACGGTGCAGTGTGTACTGTCAGCAATGATTCCAGGTACATCAAAAACTAAGTTAATTGAATTTTAGTTTTCGCTGAAGCAAAACGTCAGAACAGATAAGGTTTTCATCCCTTTAGAAGAGGCTGCAATTTAAGCTAATAAATGACAGCAGATCAGTCTCACTTTCTCTTCGTTAGAAATGGCGAATCACCCGATATTGCGAACCCGCTGTAGAGTATCATTATGAAAAATATCCACAACCATTCCATGGCACTTTGTTAAACCATTTTTTAATCTCTTTTCCAAAAGCATCCAGGGCAACTGTTTCATCTACAATGTCAAGTTCTCTGGTTTGAACTTTCCTCCCAATGGACCTGTTATGCAGAAGAAGACACAAGGCTGGGAACCCAACACTGAGCGTCTTTATGCACGAGATGGAATGCTGATAGGAAACAACTTTATGGCTCTGAAGTTGGAAGGTGGTGGTCATTATACCTGTGAATTCAAATCTACTTACAAGTAAGATGTCACAATTGCCATTTAACCAATTAAGGAACTCGAAATGTAGGATCTAGCTTATGTGAAAGCCACGATTCGGGATTTTATAAGCAAAAAGGGAAGCGATTTAGTTTAATGATTATAAAGGGGATCTGGGTTTGAGGGATTTTAGAAAGGGAGATTAAAAAAAACTATATATTGTTGAAAAGAATTGGTATTAGATAGGAAATAGTGAAAAAGTTTTAAAGTTTGGCTTCAGACACACGTTGGCCAAAATTTGTAGACATTGTCATGATCATGATTCAGGTTCACTCGCGCAATGCTCTTCAATCCCTTTCCCGTCTAATGGACTTGGTCCAGGTCATGTTCCGGATCGAGGACATTGTCAAACCTTTGTTATTCTTACGAAATATTACATATTCGACCCATATATGTTTGTAAGAAAAAAAAGAATAACTGTGCACAAAAAAAGGAAAAAAATCGCTCGTAAGAAACTGATTTGGAGGTGGTGATTTGCGGTGATAGTTTTCTCGCTGTTACAAATTAACGTATACCGCGAAGAGCAGAGGTGTGAGTGAGAAAATAAGTATCTTTATTTAAAAAAGATAACGTGGAGAATGCTTGCCTTGCCTCCCGAAAACGCTCGACCCAAAAAATTAGAGAAGAGGATTTTGATCAAAGCTGATGGTTGTCGCCAAAGATTGTGGTCAAAGCTATTTTTTGGTAAAGAATTAAATTGATAGTTTGGGTCAGTTTCGATCTTACCGATATTAACGGTTTTTTTGTTCATTTGTTAGGGCCAAGAAGCCTGTGATGAAGCCTGGGTATCACTATGTTGACCGCAAACTGGATGTAACCAATCACAACAAGGATTACACTTCCGTTGAGCAGTGTGAAATTTCCATTGCACGCAAACCTGTGGTCGCCTGACGTCACGGTTTTTTCAGAGTCAAATTAAGGCAGAAATACGCAGTGGCGTAACAAACGTAGTTTTTGATTTTAGCTAAAAAACGTAGAACAGAAGAATTGTAAACAAAATTTGATGATTAAACTTTTGAAATGAACGTTTCTGTGTGACTCCTCAGTAAATCACTGGGCAGCTGGGTAGTTTTATATTGGTGTGTGTGTTGATAGTTGGCAATAATAGTTACTCTTGCCCTAGTTACAGTCATCCACTTTTATTAGGGCGAGGACGTCTAAACTGACCATGAAAGCAGGTATGTCCCGCGAACCGATATGGTGATCTTTAAATCATTAAAATGAGTCACGATTTACATGAAAAGGAGTTGTTCATGTAGGAGACGTGGAGGAAATATAATATGTTCCATATTTGACCTTTTTTAAGGTGGCTCGACGAAGTATTTTGGAAACACAACTCCTGTCGTCTAATCAAAAATGGTAAGCCAATAGTTCTTAAATATTAAGGTAAAATCACGGGTGGTGCATTGGAATTCGATGTTGCCTGCGTAACAACCGTTTTTCATTCCTTTTCCGTTTTTTTGCTGTCGTCCCAACTTTCTCGACGAACTCGCGAGGAAACGCTTGCTACGCAGGCTAAATTCGAGGTTGTGCTAAGTTCGAAACACGCGTGTAATCAAAGAACAGGAGTGACGGACACTTTTAGATAATATGCGTCCCCAACTGGTCCACACTTGGCGGTTCTTATCTTAGCTTACTCGTTTCTTATTTCAAACGAAGAGTGAAATTTGAAACGGACGTTCGCTTCTTACGTAAGATGTGTATTATGTAAGACACCTATTGACTTTTACTCATACAAATGGCGCTATTGACTCTATCAATTTGGTCTGTTGAGGCGGCGAATGTCTTTTAAAACCCGACATCTTTGATAAAGACTACAATGGACAAAACCATGTGATGATTCGTTTTTTTTTAAAATTAGTGGTGTTTGCAAACACAAAAAAGCAAAAAGCAAATCAATTGCTTTTCAAAATTCAAGAAGGATTCTTTTCTTTGTCATGTAATCGCCTTTTAAAAAGTATATGTCGACACAAAAACAGTTCGGTTTTAAACAACGCATAACATTGAACGTACGAAGTGAAAAATGTATTGTCTTAAAATTTCCAGCGATTGGCCAGTATGGTCTTGACTTTCGGTCGGTTGCGATAGCCTAAGGAAGTGTTGTGTTAAGTCATAAAGCTCCAACCGACACAAAAAAGCTATTTTCTAGAGAATAAACACTTTTAAGTTACACTTAATAAAAGGTTATTGACTGGCTGCAATAAAACGTTTTCTAGGCGTATACCTGCGTGCAGAGAAAATGTGTTAGCGCAGTACATCGCAGTACGCTTAGTTCGTGTATTCGCCATCAGTGCAGCGGGAGTTAAATTCCCTATTCTTGTATGCAGATGATTCAACGATTGTCGCACCGCTATGGAAAGGAAGAAGAGCAAAGACACGTAGTTTTGTAGGAAAGATTTCACCTGGTTGAACTGAAATTTTATCAAACGTTACCCCTAAAGAGTTTGAAAAAATTTGTTATCTAAAAGAGAGGCAACTCCACACTCTATCCTTTTGCGTGTAATGACTGTCAATTGTCTACGCATGCCAAAACTAAATTGTGAAAAGGCAACAAATGCTTACATGTACAGAGACAAGTAAGAATGAGTGTTATAGCCAGACAGAAATATGATTACATTTTCTATAGTATCCTACGCTCTAACATAAGTTATGGGTCAATATCTGTTTCTGGTGCCTCCAACACGCAACTTATTGCCCTCCGACAAGGTTACGATCTGTTTCGTTTAAGGTTATGAAGCGACTAAAAACAGCAATACAGCTATCGGAGGTTAGCTTTCTGCTTTTCACAATAAAACAACTATATATACTACAACCTAACAGGCAAAGGTTGCCATTGGCTCTGGAAACATACGGAAAGTTGAAAGAGCAATTCCCTACATAGATTAGTTCTTACATGTAACCTTTTATGAATAGATGAATATGTCATGATAGATATAAATCTTCCTTTGTATTTACACAGACAGAGGAACCTCTTAAAACAGCCACCTCCACATAAGCTCAGTCTTTCTCTACAAAGGTCACTCTTAATTGTCCTGGCTGACAGCCATTAAATTCCCTTTTGTGCTTTTTTCTCTTCAACACGGCCACCTCCCTACAATGGTAGTAATTTCTATTTTTGGTCCTTCAATTACGAAAACCCCCGAGGGAACCTCTTCACAATAGTTATGCTTTTTGTTAACGTATTTTTCCTGACCATTTGGGTTTGATTATGTTATGTAATGTTATGCTAAAAGAAGCTCCTTTGAAGCTATAAAAGTTCTATTCAAATCATGTCAACTCAGGGTTTCCGTGCAGTTGTGTTGTTTTACGTGCCTAGGAAAGTTTCTCAACTTCGTACAAAAAAACAAACAAAGATCTTGTGTTTCTCTTTGTTTTCTTAGTATTTTAATCTTGAACATTTTATTTTTGGGCCTGACTGTGTTACGCAATGGTATTTTAGAATAAGCTCTTTTGAAGCTACAAAAGTTCTACCCTTTGAAGTTAACACCTCTTGTATTTAGTCTTCACTCTCAGCTCGTCCAAGAAACGTTGAAAAAAAACTTGTCCAGGGGAATAACGTCCCTTCTGCTTGACAGATGACAAATATTTATTAACCTCTTGCGAGTCTAAGCTAGTATACCTTGATACTTTGCTGTATAATTATAAAAGAAACAAAATTCAACTAACCACAAACGCGCGTTCGGCGAGTGGTGACCTTTTGCTACTTCCACTGTTACACAACAGTAAGAGATTAGCATAAATAAAAAAATAAATGAGTGTCCTAGAGGTTAGAGTTTTTGTGTGTGTTGCATAAGTTTCTGTTTCTGTTCCTAAATATGCTTCGGTTATCTATTCCGTAGTATAACAAATACAGACTGGACTGAACCGACTGAATTGGCATCATTCAACAAATGAATGTCTTATAACTAAAGCGCTTGTAAATGACAAGGTATTTATCTTCTTTAGGAATATGCCTCATAGTATTACAGTAAACTCACTTGAAAAGGGACAGATTTTAGGAATCCCATAAAAGCGGGTGAAGATGGGCAAACGCGCCTGTTGCCTTGGGATTTGCATAAGCACCCAGGTGACCTCATATATCTCGCAAAATGTGTGCAGTCTTCATGCAAAAATTGTTATTATGCAATTCGTGGGACAGAAAAACTAGATTGAGGACAAAGGCTACACGTATTGGACGATTTCTATGCAAGTCAACTATTTAGCAGGAACGCCTGATCCACCAAATTTGATTGAGGTTATTATAGGGGTCGATTAAATTTTTATGTCATGGCCGTTTGCTTGTGGGTTTATATCTTTGATGTCGACGTGGCTCATTTAGGGCTGCTGTGGATCATTGTAGGTCGTTTCGGCTTTTAATAACTACGTTTGTCTCTATCACACCACGAGGTTTCACTGTATGCTATGTATGCTACGAAATCGGTCATCTTCTTTACTGACTACCTAAACAAAAGTAGCCAAGTAAGTGATGCGCATACAGTCGAGCAAGCATAGATGGCGGTTTATTTCTTTACAGAGTTTCTACGAAAAGATTACTTCCGCTTGAGGTGCAATTAAAATACGACGTCATCTTCCTTTTCACAACGAAGTCTCATGTTTGAGAGAGTTTAGTTTAACCATATTTCGATTACTGTTATGTTCTTAGAAGCAATTGCTGTGCGGCATTGAATTTCAACTAAAAAGCGACAGAAACTCCAAAATCGTGCAGCCTCTTATTTTATTTTTACTTGTAGTCCGTTTATAGTTAGCCATTTTAACCCAGAGCACATTTGCGTTGTTACAACCAAACTGCTGTTCTTTTTTAAAATTTAACAGAGCGTGATCGCTAAACAAATGACCTATGAGGTTTATATGTCAGGCACGGTCAATGGACACTACTTTGAGGTTGAATGCGATGGAAAAGGAAAGCCTTACTAATAAGTTTCTGTTTAATAGATGTTATATATTTTTCATACTTGTTCAATATTGTTGGTTTCCGTTCAATGCATGAAGCGTTTTCCCAGCTTACCCTTAATTACTTTTAAAATTCCATGACACTTTGAAGGATGTTGTTGGGAAGGAATGGGGCAGACGAGGCAGAATTACGATAGAACAAGTGAGCAGCAAAGCGTTACCAGCGTTATCTTTTATGGACATTTGTTTAAATTTTTTATATATGAACCAAACTGATAGCCTGCGAACCGCAGACGTATTTCCTACCAATTAAACGCTATCATGCAAAGTTAACCTCTACGTTAATGTAATAAAATAGATAACCATCAATTGGTATCACATCCACAAAGCTGACAAAGGGGTTTCTTGTCTACCATCCCCGATAGAATTGATATTGAAAATGCTTTTTTTAGAAAAGGGGGAAACAAACCAGAGAACTAAGAGGAAATCCTGTGATAGTAAGAATTATACACCTTTTAACAAGCCCCATCGAGCATTGTTTAACCAGCCTTTTTTAATCAATAAGGCACCATAATATAAAGATGTGTCTTATTTGCAGTGCCAACTCTTCTCTTTAAGGGGCGAGCAGACCGTAAAGCTCACTATCACCAAGGGCGGACCTCTGCCGTTTGCTTGGGATATTTTATCTCTACAGAGTCAATTCGGAAGCATTCCATTCACCAAGTACCCTGAAGACATCCCTGACTATGTAAAGCAGTCATTCCCTAAGGAATATCCATGGGAGAGGATCATGAACCAAGGGCACCCAACGAGAATATAGTTCAAGACCACTTAAAACAAAGCATATTGTTGAAAGTATTTTAGTATTTAAACGGTAGATATAGGCATATTTTTATCCCCTAAAATTTTTCATCTGTTCTGATTGCCTAGCTGAAAGTCTAGTGATCCGAAAATTATAGGGATCAAAACTTACCTTCTGGAAAATTTCAGCCAGAAAAAAGGCTCCGTAAAATTCTGTGACCTTTTTAGGGTAAAAATCCGTTAAAAATGGGCAATTATATCATTTTTTAGATGTTCGAAAATCCTAGGAGAGGCAGGTGAGCAAGAAATTTGGCAACAAAAGTTCCGAAAATT